CGAAGAGTCCTTTCGGTGAATTAGCTTCGGCGAAGTGGGTTTCGACGAAACGGATTCGGCGAAACGTCCGGATACCATTTCCACCACCATGTTCCGTTCAATATCTCCGTGGTCGGTTGTCATTACTTATCAGAATTATTTTATCATTGGAACTTAGGTTCCACAATTTGTGTCAATCGAGAGACGATAGAGTAAGTAAGGTTGCTTTGATATGGAACTTTAATTTTGTGCACTATCAGATCTTAGAGTTTCATCAATATTTGATTAAAGCTCATTTACAAAATCTGCCAATTCCTACGTGAATAATTCAATTAAAGAAAAATTTTGCCATTACAAGTTCAATGTAATTATCACCTTTTTAACAAATAAAAAGTACTATTTTGACCATCGGTCCGGTCCAAAAAGACCGGTCTTTTATCTTTCTTTGGACCGGATGGACCGAACTGTCCCACCAAGATCAATTCAATATAAACCTTAAAACATATGGATTTCCTCTTATTAAAAACAATTTAATAAATTAGTTCTAAAGATGAATGCAATCACAAGGTCGGATTAAAATTTGCGAGTTTAAATTCACGAACTAATAAATTAAAATCTAAAAGTATATATATTTTTTTATTCTATTAATCACTTAAATCAACAAAAAATTATTTTATCATTTTACTATAATTTCGTCATTGAAATAAAAAGTAATTAAAAAAAAAAATACTTAAAATACAATTACAAAATTAAAATTTATGTTTTTATTAGCAATACTCTTTTATGAAATAATCAAAAATAAAATATAAGAAATAGTAGAAATTATTTCACTCGTAACTTTTCACTTTTCACTCCCAACCCGCTATTAATATAAAATGGGATGAGAGAGCCATCAGATCTCTGATCACCAAACAGGAATCTGGGGAGGATCACCCGAGATAACCGTAGTAGGAATCTTGAACGGATCACCTAAGAGCAGGATCACCCGAGCTCACCTAAGAGGAATCTAATGCGAGATCACCACTTATCAGATTCACTGAGGAATCCAGAGCGACAGTCCGCTCTCTCATTGTGATCTAGATTTATAAAATAAGGTCCTTTTATTCATAACCTTCATTTTCAGAGAATTGTGGGATTTCAGGTAGTTGATCAAATGTCACGTGATTATCATTGCACATAAATTTTTAAAACCAGTTATTTGTTCTAGATTTTTACAAAAATGTCTTACAAATCCGCAAATTCTCGACAACGTGCAAAATTTTTCGCTTTCAAAGAAAATTACTGCTGAAGAAAATGAAAGAATATTTGTGAACGATCAGTATACTAGCTTATCAGAAGAAGTTACCAAGTTAGACGATGTTAACAAGAATAAAGCTTATGAAGGAAGATTGCAAAGGGATGTAAAAGAATCAAGGACAAGAAACTATCATTTGGGAAGTGCTTTGAAAAGAGTTATTTGAGGTGGTTTTATTTTTATTATTATTCTGAATTTTAAATAAAATAGCTTTTAACCATGTTTACTTAAAATTTCAAAACTTTTTTTTTCCGTATGGTTGATAGCACTCCATCACCCTCTCTTATTTCAGTTTCTCTCACTTCACCTCCCTTTAAAGCTCAACCAATACTACCTCGCCCTATTGCTCCTATCCGTCGTTTTCTAGGTGGCCAGAGCTTATGACAAGAAACTATAATTTGGGGCGTGCTTTGAAAAGAAGGATTTACTTTGGATTCGCCGAGTGAATAGTTTTAGTAAGTGCTTTCATTTTTATCAAGGCCATTGTGTGGGTTTACTTGTTGGTTTTGTTTATTTTTATTATTATTCTGAATTTTATAAAATAGCTTTTTAACCATGTTTACTTAAAATTTCAAAACTTTTTTTTGTTATCCGTATGGTTGATAGCACTCCCTCCCCCTCCACTAGTTACTGTCCCTCCCCCTCGCTTGTTTCAGTTCCTCTTCCTTCACCTCCCGTTACAGCTGCAATTTTAGAACTATCTCACCCTATTGCTCATATCCGTCATTTTTTTAGGTGGCCAGAGCTGGTGGATCTTGATCCACCAGGCATTTTTGTAGAAACCCCTCACATCCTCCCCTAGTCGATGGCCGGAGCGAATGGATCTAGATCTCCTGGCATTTACGTTGCCATCGATTATAGTTTTTACCCATTTCCCCTTCGTTTTAGCTAGCCACCTCTCCTTCTTATTCGTCGTCTTTGAAATCCTCAAAAAAATTAAAAATATAAAATTAAAAAAAATTTATCCCTTTGAAAATTTTCACTAGGGTGCTTATCTTTTGATAAGCATGACTACGATACCTTGATGAATCGTATCTATTATATGAAGTTGGCTGTTTTGTCGTTCTTTTTTGCATTTAAAATAATCACCATTGGCACTTTATCCACATTTTATAGTTTAGAATTATATATTTTTTTATTTGTTTTTTTTTTTTAATTTTGTTTTATGTATTTTGATGATGTCTTAAGGTAAAATTTTTTAAAATTAATTTTATGACCCATTATATTCGCATGCACTTTCTTTTTTTTTTCATCTCAAATATTTTTATTAACCTGTATGAAACTTGCCACCTTTACGCGGTGTCCAGGAGATACAGTTATAGGTTCATCTATAACTGGCTAAGCGCAAGCATTTATTCTTTAAAAATATTGATTATACATATACACTCATGATTTATGTAAATTTTATTTGTAAATTATACAATTTTTTTAATAAAGAATTATTTATACACCACAAAAAAAGTGATGATCAGATGTAAAATTTTTTTCATTGATCCATAAATCAGTTCAAACTTTCGTTTAAGCAGTACGACAAAATACGTCAAGACAGCTTTGGAAATATATATGTGGTTTATGATTCGTTAAAAAGCTTACCTTTTGAACAACTAGTTAATAATATATTTCAATTATATGATTTCCGTACAATTCGTTGTTGGGATGATTAGAGCAGAGCAAAAAATTTTAATTTTGTCTCATCTATGCCTGCATCATATGTTTCCGACACAGAAAATTATCCACATAATTTGTCTAGTTTAAACTGATTCGTTATGAATAATGTAAGTATATATTAGTAACAAATTGAAAATCTTTTTATGCATAAAAGTCCAGAATTCTAAATGATGGTGAGATAACGATCCAATGTCAAAAAGATGATGTAGAATTCTAACTATTGAAAGAAATACAAATAGGAAATATGTCTGTAGAATCATGGAATAAGATCCAACACCGTCCTTCAAAAATTTTAACACCATATTAATATTTTACTCAATACCACCTAAATTGTGCAATTTCAAGAATTCAAACTGAAGCTTAGCTTATAATAATCATCTTGTAAAGCTGAACATTATTCTTCATCATGAAGGACAAATTCAGTCAATTATACCGATAAAATGATCGTTTAGAAAGTATCATTAATGTAAATTACTGCATCAAATGTGATGAATTTATTGAATTAGGAGATGTAATACGAAGGAAAGCAACTCAAACAAGCCATCAATATAGAAGGTAAGTAGTGCATTCCCTCAATGTATTAGCAAAAAGAATGTAATGCTTGAATTATGGATATATCGAAAATTGGAGCAAATTTTGCTGGACACACATTTGATGTCGACTTCCTGGATATTAATAGTTCTCAGAAAACTTATGGAATTGGAGTTAACATTACTACATTACTAAGAAATTTATAATATCAAAGACTAAAAAGAATATAGGCACATTATAGTCGCGCTTGTCACACTCGTTATTATTAGGATTGTGCCTAACAAAAATTTAGAGCACAGGCCTAACGTATAAGACACATACACGGAAATGGGCACCAATTCTATAAAAAAAGTTTGGACACTTTAGAGCATCGGCATATACGCAGCATTTTAATTAATAACTTTATTTCGGTTATCAATTTATGTATTATACGTAACTTTACTTTAAAGAACCAAGCTTGGATGCATTTAATTTAATAGGAAAGAAAATCATACTGTTGAGATTGGTTTACTAAAAATATAATTCATCAGGCATGTGCATTAATGATGAGTCAAGGCACTAGAACAATTTGGATAACTGAATACATATGTACTTCGAGTAGAATAATAATAAAAAAATTTTACGTGTCATTTTCATCTAATATATTTGATTTGGCAATTAATGATAGGTTTAGCATTTTTTTTTTTCTTATTAGATGGTCTATATCAATTTTAGTTTCTCGTGTACATTGATAAGAAAATTATTTCCTTTATATATATTATTAAAGTTTAGTGCATCCATAATCTAGGCTCAAGATTTTTAACATGTATGCATACGTTAATTCCCGAGAAAAATATATGTAGAAATACTTTATATTTCACCAGAAATATTTACGGCGCTTTGTATTTAACCATGCAAAAATGTAACAGGCCAAATTAACTATATTTGATAAAAAAAAAAATAAGTCTAAAGTACAACGTCATAAAGATTATCGATTGTCGTATAAAATACATAAAATTGTGAGGAAGCGAGAATTCTACAAATATAAATTAAACAAAATTGAAAAAATTATTTTATATAAAATGCTAATTTAGTATAGTTAAAGCAAGGATTAAAATTATAATATTTGGCTAAATAAGAACTTTCTAATAAACCAAAGACCTTTTAAATTATATTACTATTTGCCCAATTTTTTTATCAATAATTCCATCAACGTTTCTATGTTTTTTAAATGAATTATAACGCTCGAACTCGTCAGAAGTTAAACTATAAAACCTGATTAATGGTAAATCATCATTTGGCCAATTTTATGGGATTTTGGATGAGCGTAGGACTTTTTCAAGCCCCATTTAATATATGCTTCCAATGCTTCAACTTTTTTCATCTGCAAGTCATAATAAGTGAAATCAAGGATTTTTCAGGAAATGAAGCAAAATCAAGCGATGTCAGAAATTTAGTAGGATTTCTATTTTTCGCTAAAAGAGGGAGAGTGTATTTTTATATACATTTCTGTTATTATAGCTTATGCTAGCAATCAGCTTAATGGATAGGGTTTAATATATAGAAAAAAATGCAAATACGTTCGGTGCCGCGCCCCGACACCGCCTAATACATCAATAAAAAGGCGCAGAAGGTTTTGTTTTAAAGTACTTCCCGATTCGACACTGCGCCTCAATATCGAAATATCCGCATACAAATCATTACATATTTTAACTTTTTAAATTTATTTTTTATTTTTTTTTATTCTTCATTTTTTTTTCAAATCTTTTAAAGATAATTTCGACGTATTCGATAGTTGAGTTTACCACATAAGTTTTATTGTTATGGGTCGTTAATTATTATTATTATTATTATTATTTGATTGTTTCAGGACACGGCGACTGATGATTTTTTTTTTTTTCAAATTTTGCACTATTTAGGTTCTTCTTTTGAGTTTATTCGCTTCCAAAAGTTTTGAAGATGAACATGCCTCGGGCCCCCCTAATTTATTATTATAATTTGCTTTGTTTCCATTTTTTATATTTTAATATTTTAAATGACAATTATGAAAGTTATATTTATCAAATAATACAAAAATGAGATTATTTAAATGAAATAAATGATGATAATAATAAGGATAATAATGCCAATAATAAGAGAAATCTAAGAAAAATAATAGTAATAATGAAACTTTTCAAAAATTTACTCCCTTTCAACATGCTTATCATTTATATAATTCCAATATAATTTTTCCAAATTCCCTTTTACCTGAAAATCTTACTTCATATTTTATTTTTTCTCAATTTTTTATTTAAAACAAATTGAAATAATTGTATAAAATACAAATATTTATGTATATTATCAAATTATAAAAACTAGCAACACATCTAAAAAAAAATCATAAATGGCTTAATCTTATAATATATATGGGTATTTTAAAATTTTTATCTATAGAAGATTATTAGAATAGAGATAAAATTTACCTAACTCATAATATTAAAAAATTTATGTCTTTATTTCGATTTTAATAAATGAGTAAAATAATTAATAAATTATTTATATTTAAATATTTTACTAAATTATTTTTAATAATTTTTTATATAAAGTGATATTTACATATTTTAGACATAACACAATAAACTAATATTTTTTTTAAAGTTGAGCAATTAGCGTTTCATATTTGTAATACATCTAAAAAACTTTATCTTTTTGTATCTAATATTATGATTGATGAGATGATAGTCTGATTCTCTAGGCGAAATGCCTATATATTTTAAATAAAGAATAAATCAACCTCAGAAGGTTACAAAATATTATCATCATATGAATCAGATTATATATTTACCTTTATATTTACATCAATAGTCAAATTTTCTAATATTTATAATAAATTTATCTTTTATACAATAAGTAAAATTATTTTTTATAATAAAACGTATATAAACTTATAATTTATTATAAAACTTTAATCATTATAAAAATATATTTAATAAATTTTATCCAAATTTT